TATATATATATATATATACATACATATACATATAAAATAACAAATAAAACTAACAGCCAAAAAACAGCTATCAGTCTTTTTTAAAAGGCATGTAATGATGCTTATAAATGTCAGGTGAAAATGCTGTGTTAGTAAAGTAAAATCCTCCTGACAAAAACTAGGACTGTTGCATGGACAAACCAGTAAAGGTCAGTAAGTAAAAGATGTGATTATCCATCCATCCATTTTCTGTCTCTCGCATCCCAGCTGTCTACGGGTTAGAGAGGGGGTCCACCCTGGACAGGTCGCCAGTCCATTGCAGGGCAATACAGAGACAAACAGGACAAACAACCATTCACACACACTTAAGCAGAATTCAGAGAAGCCAATAAACCTAACAATCATGTTTTTGGACTGTGGGAAGCTGGAGTAACCGGAGAGAACCCATGCATGCACAGGGAGAACATGCAAACTCTATGCACAAAGACACCAAGCCCGGAATCAAACCTTGCACCTTCTTGCTGCAAGGCAGCCGTGCTACTCACTACCCCACTGAGCATATAATGTTTGAAAGAAAGAAAGAAAGAAAGAAAGAAAACAAAATCTGTAAAATAAAAAAACTTTTTTAATTTATTTATTTATCAAATTTATTAAGTACATTAAAAAAAAAAAAAAAAAAAAAAAAAAAAAAAAACAAGCAAAAAAACATTTAGTGTCAAAGCCTCACCGTTTGCTTCCTCCCTGTCAATGTGAATGGTAGTGGAAAAAACCGTCAGAGTGAGACCTCTTCGCAGTTGCCTCCCAGGTGTGACTGACATGAATCTCACCTGTCCAGGTGAGGCTCTGACGGCTCCTCCGATTGTCTCGGCAGTAATGTGACGTTGACGTTCGTCCCTTCTGTGTAAAGGAAACCTGGGAAGTTTCTCTCTGTCCAGGAAACTAAACCATTTCTTCTGTTCCTTGACGTTTGGAAGATCTCCGGTTATGGATAAATTAAAATCGGTTCTTAGCGGCGAAGAGTCGAGGCGAGATGACCGCAGCGTTTTACAGGTAAAAATGGAGATTTTTACCTTTTACCCTCCATAACAACTCATTTCAATGACCGAGCATCTTAAAATTATCCGGTGTTTTTTTGTTGTTGTTGTTTTTTTGCAGTCTGTGAATGAAGCATCAACTTTAGGCTGGGGGACCCGCATAAAGGGGTTTATCGCCTGTTTCGTGGTGGGAGGTGCATGCACAGTTTTGGTAATTAAATTCTGATGTCTGAACTTTTTAACCAGAGACAGTTTCGCTGCTCTGTAAGGAAGTTAAAAGTAGCTCTAAAGTGGCCTTACTGGTTATACTGGCTTAGATGGAATGTGGAAGATGGGATGCCACTTCATTTCACTTTAACTTTTAGCCTAATGAGATCCAGCTGTGTCACTTTTAAATGAAGAATTCACTAATAAATGATGGTTTAAACGTCCCTCTAATGCATCCAAACTGGGCCTATATACTGTTTATAAATCTTATGGTAGGTAGACTCTCTATGGAAGGTGATGAGTGCCGCTATACTATAAATAAATAACTAATGAAATACTTATTTAAAGGTGTCAGTGATATATTAAAACTAGAAATAGATGTATAATTTATTTAATAAATGTATAATTCATTATATTGGTCTGAGTTAAATATAATTATTTCAATGTTATTTTTAATAAATGTTATTTATTATTGCATGATGATGAATCACTCTATTTACCTGGGGGCCATAATATTTTATATATATATATATATATATATGTGTGTGTGTGTGTGTGTGTGTATTTAATTTTAGTTTCAATAAATTACTGGCACATATGAAAACATTTATATGGTAGTTGTTTATTGAACTGTTGCACTCCTCACCCTCCATATGTTGCGGTGCAAAATAAAATAATTGTATATAGTAACGGGAAAAGACATAAGACATTTTAACCAATAGCATTTAAATGAATAAATATTTATTGATTTTTACTTTTAAATTTGACACATATAGAATTTTTTTTTTATCAAATCAATTCATTTGTATGTTTTAATTGTTGCCTATATTTATTAAAATAGTTATTATTGAATTCATTTATTTGTTATTTTGGTATCTCTAGTTACAGCAAAGCCATTATCATTGTTAATAAGCACAGTTAAAAATAAAGACCTACCTTGTTGCTAATCAATTAAATATAATTAAATTTAACCACCCCCCTTCAGGAGGATTTTTAAGATTTTTGAAGAAGGGGGATCTCATTCCCCCTTATCCCCCCCTCAACTCGATTACTCTCTGCAATTAAATACAAATTCCAGGTAATTTAAACATTGAGTATATTAGGTGCTAGAGAAGACTCAATGAACCATCTTAGGTATTCCTAGTTGCATGTATACTCTCATTTGTTGGCAGGTTTAACATATTCCTAAAAAGTTGGTCCAGATAAATCTATAAAGCCTTTCTGATGATCACAACTCAAACAGATCATGTCCTGCTTAGGTTGCTGCCTGTTATAATAATCTGCATGTCTTGCAGGGAGTATGTATGCTGTTTCTGCCCAGGATTGGCCTCACTCTTTTCATTGTATTCTACACATTTGGAAACATTTGCGCTCTTTGCAGGTAAGAATCATAGATGTAGAAAAAATAAAGACCCCAGGTAATGCTTAAGTTCTTCCTTATGACTTTCATTTTTTTAAACTATAATAATCATGACTTATATCCCAATCGGACACAGAAATTTTATACAATTATTTAAATGTATTGTTTATGGTAATTTTGTCCCACAGCACAATGTTTCTGATGGGGCCGCTGAAGCAGCTGAAGAGGATGTGTGACAAAACAAGAGCACTGGCGACCGCAATCATGATTGTAAGAGTTTGCACTTTTATTTACCGTATGAATTTATGTAGCAAGGTTTAAAACTTCAGGTCTATGGAGGATTAATGTTGTTATAATTGAAATAAATAGATGGCTCAGAAATTTAATCCACTGGTCAAATAAAAAAAAAAATTAAAGATGCATTAAAAAAAATTTAAATTAGGTATATATATATATATATATATATATATATATATAAAAATAATTATTTGAGGTTAGAAAAAAGAAAATGGCATTGAATTTACTTCTAATAAATAAGTAAAAGGAAAAATGCAGCATTCCACTAAAAAACACAACCTATGACTGAATATTCATTGTTTCTAATTTATTATTTAAAAAAATATATATCTCTAAATTTATTCAGTTTGTGGGAAATAATGTTTCATTCATTTGAATATCAAGCTATCATTTCACCAAAGGATTATATTTTTGAGTCATTTATTTATTTATGTATTTTAATTGTGGCAGGATTGGTCCTCCATCAGGGACAAAAAACACAGTTAGATGGAATACAACTAGTTTAGAGCCTCAGAAAGGGATTTAAAGGATTTAGAATAAAGAAAAACATTGACAAAACAATAAATAAATCCATTTTCTTCCATGAGCTGTTACATATTTATGGGAAATAAAATTATACTGGATGGAAAGGTTAAAGAGCTAAAACTAATTTGAGTAATTACAAAAATTAACACACCACCAATTTCTTTAAAATGTTAATTTGTTTTTTTTATTTTGGCTTAAGTTAGGTAGATGGAGGTGCATCAATCTGATTTGATGCAAATTGTTCCATTAATCATAAATGATCTAGCGACAAATGGAAATGCAGTTGAACTTGATGAGGAATTTTATGTTTGACTTATTTACTCTTCTATTAAGATCTTTATGAATTAAATACATTCATAATAAAGTAAAACATGCCAAAGTGTGTCTATGTATTAAAAGCAGCTGGAATATTTTTGTTTTTATTGTTTACACCACATGTTGGCCATATGCATCAAAATGTTCTACTAAACACAGCAGTTTGTTGAGATTGTGCATCACTGCGAACATAGATGGATTATTTAAGGCAACCTGAAAATCCTCTTAATGAAACAAATAAACATGTGGACTTATTTTGATTCGTAGTATGGTTGTGTTTTTTCCAGACTTGCCTTGTTTTAACACTGTGTGCAGCATTCTGGGTAAGTGAGCTTGGAAGCGGAGAACACACTTCCTGTCAAAGGTTTACATGCACTCAGATGATTTGCACTGGTGTTGGGCTTGGAATTGTTCATTTGAATAGCTTATATTTTCAAAATTTCAACAACTCTCTTAACAATTTTTAATTTTTTTAATTTTATTTTAGTGTGTAGTAATTTTATTTCTGGAGATGGTGACAAATTTGGAAGTGGCCCCTTTTCTTCATTATTCTGTCCTCTTTGGTTTTTATCACAACCACCTGCAGATCAACAGTCCTGTGTCATCACAACCAAGCGTCTTGTCATAATTGTCAAAAACAACCCAATATTTATTTTGTATGAAGATAGCTTTTTTTCAATACCAAGAATGCCTGTAGTTTTTTGTGGCCCGGCTTCAATCAAATCACTAAATGTGTGTTAATCTGTAATTCTAAAGTAAAAATACATCTTAGATCAATTAGCACCGCTCACTAAAGCATTTAGATGATAGTATTTATATATTTCTATGTATATCTGACTTCCCATGGATTAAGAAAAATCTAGAACATTTTGAAATTTGTGCCCCTTTTGTATCAATTCCCTCTGAAGAAAAAAAAACCCCTCTTAAAATCAACTTTTCATTTTGCTAAAAGCTTCAAATTATCATGTATATTATGCAGTCACTTATAGCATTTTCTTTCTTTCAGTGGAAGAACTTTGGACTTGCTTTGTTATTTTGCATTTTGCAGATCTTGTCCTTTTCCTGGTGAGTTCTTAATCTCAACCTTTGTAGCCGTTTGTTGTCTGAGTGAATGCCTTTAACAGGAGCCATGTTTTGTTTGCAGGTACAGTCTGTCATACATCCCTTGTGCCAGGTTGGTGAGATGTACAATACTTGGTCAAATAACCAGCATAAATGTTCAGCATGAAACTGTTCTTAACATTTGTGGTTCTTTCCAGGGAGATGATCATGAAAGGTGTGTCTATCTGCATTAAGTGAACACGCTGTTGGGAGCCGAAGGTTTAAAAAAGAATGAAGTATTTTAAAGGCTGGGATGGGGTTCTGGATAAATCTGCTCAAAACCTCCTTCTCTACTGGCTTTGATTTGAAGAAACTGTCTATTTAATGCAAAATAGGCAGAAAAGGCCCATTTTTTACCTCAATAGATCTTCTCTTGCTTTATTAATCCAATCTATTTTTTTAAGTCGAATGATCATTTTAAGTAAATCTAAAATGTGGCCCTAAATAATTGTATTATGTGTAAATATATGTAAAAAAATATAATAAAGCTTTCATAAATTATTGCAAGCCTCTTTTTGATGTCAGAAAGAGCTGATCAGCACAGTAACAACATCCAAGAATAGATAAGATATCTAGAGGTGAAACATGGAGCTCCAAAGTCTGGGCTATCCTTCAGTACAGTTTCCAGTTGTCTCAAGATACCGGTTTTATCCTTTCAAACATTTATAAACATCATACAGCTGACAAGAAAGTCTTTATCCAAAATTCCCGAAGCAAAATGGGTGAAAAAGCCACTCGGAGAAGATTAAACCATCAGTCCAACAATAATATTTAAAGATGAGTTTATAAATGCAGTCAGGGACAGATAATCTTTGGAGATTTGACTGTTGATGTAAAGCTAAATAAAATGTTTGGGAGTAATAATCATTGTTACATTTGGTGGGAAACAACTCAACTGTAAAGCACGGGGGTGGAACTATCATGTGTGGATGTTTTGCTGAAGGAGCTGGTGTACATAACTTACAAAACTATATCACAAGGTATGAAACATGGAAATAATCAAGCTTTATCTGAAGGCATCAACCATGAAGTTAAAGCTTTAACACAAATGAGTCCCCCAAATGTTGGTTGGTTGTAGGTATGCAGCCAAATCAGGGGGTTAAATAGTGTGATCCTCCCAGAGCCATTATCTCAGCCTTAGAAAACCCGTGCAAGAACTTTAGAAAATGAGTGAGCATACCAGCAGAAAAACCCAATTACAGAGGGTAGCAAAAAACATGGAACATCAAAAAAGACGGATTAATGATATTTTAATATTTATATTTAATATTTGAAGAGTGTTAAAAAGAGTAACCACTGGAGATTCTCGACAAAACCAACTTGATGTGTTTCACATCTCTTTTAGCCGCAGAGACGAAAAATTGCTAAGTTTTAATCTAACATTTTGCATTAACATATATTAATATATAGAGGCAAATACTTGGTTTTGTTTCTTGGTTTTGGTTTCTGATGAGACCACAGAAACAGAAAAAAACAGTAAATACACATAATTTATGTGCAATAAAAACAAATGTACTCCATTGTGTTTGTTTCTCAAGTGCAGGTAAAATTTGAATGGTTTGGATTTCATATTTGATTGTAATGAGTCTATATAGATGTCAATTGCAGATAATATCTGGACTTTGGTCTTTTGTTGGTAAAATTTGTAGGTGTGAATATAATATTTACTGTCGATGGAGAAAAAAAAAAATTCTGCAAAGTCTGCATTCTTGAGGTCAATTTTCTTCATTCCAAACAAAACATTCTTATTTGTATAAGTTATTTTAACAAACAATTCTAGTGCAGCTACAATAACAAAAGTGATGAAGAATGCTTTCTTCATGAATTTTACAAAAAGTACAAAAGGGATCAAAGTCTCATGTTATTCTTGTTACCAATAAAGCTTTAAATGGATAACAGCTCAATTTTCAAATGAGATCTCTCAAATTGGTTATTTTGTGCTGCTGCCCTTCATCTGTGAAATGCCCTCCCTATCGCCTTGAGGGCACCTCAATCCACTGTTTTAAAAAAGGCCTTAAAACATTTCTTTTTAGCAAAGCTTTTGGTCCCCTTTAGATGTTTTTCTCTCTTCTAAAAATAGCTTTTTCATGTTTTTTTCTTTTTTACCTATAGTACTTTAAGATCTTTTGATGGAAAGTGCAATATAGATTAAATGTATTATTATTATTCTGTTTGGGATCAAACAAGTCCACTTCCAGTTAATATTTTAAAAATACAGCAATGAGAACTAGAATGTGTAGTTAGGCTATTTGTCTTTTTTTCTTTCAATCATAGTCTATATAAACTGTGATTGGATTAAAAAAGGACATAGAACGATATTTCCCTGGAAGCAGAGATGACAGAAACTTTATGACTGGGGATTGCATCAAACACTGACATCTTTTGCTGCAGTAATAGAAAATTGAAAAAGTGACTAAAGTTCAGAGTAAGATAACAGATCACCATTTGGCTTCAGTAATTGTCCTAGAAGAAATTTCTCCCCTTTTTTTTTCTTTGGAAAAAAATATGATTTCAGGGCCTCCAACTTTTCTCCAAACCTTGGAGTGAGATTATTAAATAGTTTGGACAGGCCAGCCTTGTCAGGGTTAGATGAGGAAAGGTGCAGCTATCGGTTTTCAGAGGATTTAACGGAAACAAAGCAGCAAACTGTGGAATTTTTTATAGAATAGTAAATGTTACTGAATAACAATAAGTTATATGTAGTTATGTGGAAATTTTTTTTACAAATTAACATATCTTCTATATTTTGGGTTTTTTAAGAGAGTTGTCAACCCTGCGGTTTTGGTAAGAAACACTGAACATAATACATAAACAAACATCAGCATTAACATAAATGAAAATAAAAAACAAAAAATACAGTAATTCAAGGCATATTATGCAGGGCTGTCAACTCTCAACCATTGGGTGTGAGACTCACACGTCTCAGTGTCCTTACACGCTCTCACTCCATATCCGAAAATTTTCACTCAAAAAAAATTATGGTAATTTAAAATTCAATTCCATTCCACTTATTTATATATAAAAATATCATGCTGATAAAAATCCACTAATTTAGTCATCCATTCATCCTTAACTGGAATATAGAGACTCTAAAACATGTCTTTAGCTGACGGAGTGACCCACCTTGAGCAGCAGTTATACCAAAATTGTAAAACAAATTTGTAACATTTTTATATTTAAAATAACAACAAATATGTTGTCTTTTATTATACTCTGTGCTCCCCAAGTGGAAAAGATGTAGCTTCACCTGGTTTCATTTCATAAAAAAATCTTTAAGGAACCTTTGGTTATCCAATTATTAATTGAAAAAATAATCGACAGGTTAGTCTATTTGCAGCCATCTACAGCCTCCTAGAAGGTCTGACTTGTTTAGCTGTTTTGTCAATTGTAAGAAAAACTAAAAGACAATGAGGTAAGATGTTTTCTTCAAATATTCATACGCAGAGTCGTTTGCACTGGATTTCCAGTAACAGCCAATTAGTTCCCCATTGTTTATTTTACTTGAACTGCATAGAATAATTAATGAACACAGTTGTGAAATTCTTTGTTTACAGTATATTTAAGATGCAGTTATTTTAGTAGGATCCATACGTCTTTACAATTCTGTGAATCACCAAAATAGTGAAAATAATGTATATTTCATAAAAAATGTTCCATATAACTACAAATAACTTGTTTTTATTCAGTAACATTTGCTGCTCTATCAAAAATTTCTCATTTTGACCATTTTTTCCCCAGTTAAATCCTCTGAAAACTATTTCAAAACCTCACTGCAAGGTTTGATTAAAAGTTGCAGCCCTGTATTTTTAATATCATTGTAATTTAGCAATAATCAAAGCTCATTTTTAAGCAAGCAGCAATGTGAGTTCGTAGTTAACTTTAAAGTGTTTTCATATGAATGGAAGTCTACAAAGAAAACATAAGTTTTGGGGGAATCTTGAGGACCTTCCGGCTCTGCGTCATTAAAGGCGCGCTTTTTTCGTGGTCACGTGACCACGCAACCCGGAAGTCTTCCATTGACAACAAAGCTGAGCGCTCCTTGTCTCTACATGTCTGTGAGGCAGCAATTTTTTCACCCCATCTAGTCTCTTTTAGTGGAAACATGTCTGACTTATTGGAGAAAATAAAAAACAAAATAGCAGAGAAAGAAAAAACGGCTTTAAGTCAGAGCGACCTGCAGAAGTTTGGTTTAACAGGTATGGAGGCGGGAGAAAAGTTACAACCTGGTTTACTTTCATTCAAACTGTGACCAAATTCTCCCTGTAGTCGTTACTTGCTGTTAATATGTGTTTGTGGACGACTTAAACCCAGTCAGGTGGTTTTATTTTCCATCTTTGGAGCAATGCTCAGCAGTAGGTTTCCTGTTTGCAGGGATCCAGCTGAGATCCTACCAGCTGGACGGGGTGCAGTGGCTGAGCCAGAGCCTCAAACACCAGCAGGGATGCATCCTGGGAGATGAGATGGGTTTGGGTAAAACCTGCCAGGTGTGTATGAGGTTAAACACCTTGCATGCTGCTTATGGAAGGTCCAACCAACATTTCTAAACTAAATAATCTCTTGATAAGTTTGCAGATATTATGCATGTTGCATTTTCTACCTCTCACAAAATATTTGCATTCTGCAGTCTTATGCAGATTTAATTTTAACTTAGTATCGATGGGCTAAATGCTGCAACTAGCGATTAGTTTGATAATTGATTAATCTGTCGACTATTTTTTCATTTTATGATTTAATAATCAGGGGCGGAGCTAGATGGGGGGCCAGGGGTGGCCATGGCCACCCTAAAGCTGTGTTCACACCAAACGCAGCAGGAGCAGTAAAAACACATCTGCTGCTTCCTTTTTGATGCTTGTACCAGTTTAGTTCTGACGCGCAGCTTTGCTGCTCTGGCTGCGCGGTCAAAAAGTGGGTCTGACATGCGTTGGGCGGAGTTGGAAGGTGGTTTTCATGTACGTAATCCAAACTACAGGCAGCATGATAATAAAATCAAACATGTTTTGCCAGCAAGTTTCAGCATTTTAAGTTAATTTAGGTGTTAATAAACTGTTTCAGAGGAGTGATCATAGTGATCTCTATAATCAGCGATGTGTCTGTCTCCCTGCCAGCTCCCAGATTATGAAGGTAGATTTGTTTCTTTGTTATTCAGTCAAAAAAAGGTTGCTTCAATCCAAAAATTTATTTTCAATTAAAAAAATCTTCACTCTAATAAAAAAAAAAACCTTTTCAATCAAAGAAAAAAAGTATTTAAAAAAAAAAAAATTTATTCATGGGGTAATTTTTTCTTTGATTGATTTTTTTTTTTTTTTTTTTTGATTGAAACAACCTTTTGGATAGTGAATGATTAAGACACAAATGTCCTACCCATGTATGGACCACACAAAATAGATCCCTTCAACCAAAGAGAACATTTTCAACAATAAAAAAGGGGTTCAAATGCAATTTTGTTGAGTCTCAGATATTTTATTTGCATTCAAAAACTATTTTCTACTATTGAAAATGTTTATCTTTTCATTGAAGTTACTTTTTTTTATTGTTTTTTTGTTTGTTTGTTTGAAGAAACTTCTTTTTTGATTGAATAATAAAGACACAAATGTCCTACCCATTATATGGTCCAATCAAAAAACACTTCAATTAAAAAAATTTCTTTAAAGCTACAGTGTGTAATAATTACAGGGATATACAGTCAGAAATGTAATATA